CCCCCATTTTCAATACCAAATTTTCCTTACAATTATACTTTCTTAATTGAAAAATTCACTAATTACATAGCGGAAGCATTAACTAACCAAAAGAAATGGATGTTACCGCCACGCTCAGGTATCTCTCTTATACCCAAACGCTAAGGCTAATAATACAACTTCAATAAACAACTCAAAATATGTATTAGTACAAAAACAACTAACAATTCAAATGTCTAACTAATACATGATATATCTAGGTGATTTGCTCATTCTCATGCCCAATGCTCATGCAAGAGTTCCTGCAAAAACAATTAAAGAACATAAAACAAAGAAACACACAAATTCAGCATTAAGCTTGTAAGATCTACTTCACCCCGTAAAACATTTTGCACATAGTACATAGGAGCAGATAATTGGCATAAAGCATAGACCCTTTAAACATTTAATCTTTTATCATCAATAGAGCATAATCATATAGAACATAACTCAAATATGAAATACTCAGAATTTCCAACAACCATAATTTCCCAACAATACTCATAATTTTTAATACCAAATCAGTAGTTCTCACAATGGATATTTTAGGAACCTTTCAAAAGTAATATATTTATTCCAACATGGAGGAACACCAATTCCAACAAAATGGGCAGGGTCTTGTTTCATCAAGCCCTAGTGAACAGTAATCACTCTACTGGACACTACACAAAATCCCATTCAATCTCAAATAATGGGCAGGGTTTTAATTATTTAAGCCCTAGTGAACAGTAATTCTCTTTACTGAACACTATTCAAAAATCCCATTTAAACCAACCAAATAATAGGCAGGGTCTTATTCAATAAGCCCTAGTGAACAGTAATAAATCTACTGAACACAACGCAAAAATCCCAAAAAAGTGGAACAGAACTAATACCTTAAGTGTGCACACCCCCAATGGATTTCCAAGCCCAATGGGTAGTAACTAGTCCTAGTAGTCAGGATACGTTTCTACTGACTACTACTCAACAGGGTAAATACCCAAGTGGTAGACTCCGCTAAACACTCCTCAAAACAACAGGACTAAAAGTCCTAGTGAGACAGGATATATTTCTACTGCTCACTCCACAAAACAACAGAGAGTTTTTAAGCTCCCTAGTGAGTCGGTATATTCAACCGCTCACTCCACAACAAACTGGGTCATAACCCAAGTATCCAGAATTTCACAACAGGATACTACACAAGTCTTAAGAATCAATTTCCTTTATCCTCCATCTTTATAAAAGTGACAACATTACTGACATTTCTCAAGCAAACAAATTCTCAACATCTTAAATAAGGAATTGACAGAAATTTTCAGAAGGCATAACCTGAATTGCAAAATTTATAGAAATATATTGGTAACACATTTTCAGATGAAATTTTCCAGATACAAGGTACAGTGAGTCTAGATTATACACAAAAAGTTTCAAATCAATCCAAGGTCTAAAAATATTTTTCCCAAATTATTTCCCAACACTGCGCCAGACAGAAATTGAACTGGCAGCACACTGCCTCCACTTTACGAAATTTTTCTGGAAATATCGAAACATATTTTTAACCCAAACTTTTTACAAACATCAATTATAACAAGTCTAAGTTATCCATAAAAACATTCAAGCAAAAACAAGTTTAGGAAGCATTTTTCACGAAATTTTCTTTCCAGCTGCGCCAGTCAGAATTTTCACAGGCAATAATCAGATTGAGTAAAAAATTTTCCTTTTTAATCACCACAAAATCACCATATCACATATGCAGGGTTTTCAACACATCTAAACTGAGTAAACTCATATATCTATCCACATAATATAATCAAATAACTTACAACACTAAATATCATCAATTTTTTTCAAAATCATGAATCACATAAACAATTAGAAAAATCAATTTTTGATTTGGGGTAAAAGGATTTTAGTGAACATAAATCTTACCTCTAATAATGCCCAAAAGCAATCACCTAAGCTTGATGATCTTGACATCTAATTCTTGAAATTAATTGATAAGAAGAAACTGCTAGGGTTTTATTTTTGTTTGGGAGAAAGGAGGGATTGTCGACAGAGAGATAGAAGAATATATAGAATTAGGTTATCTGGAACAATATGACTACTACTTAAACACTTAACTAATAACTTGTATTATAAATAATAATTCTAGTTGTATGGAACTAAAATACTTAAAAGCTTAATATAATATTAATATACATATTAGCCTACTAGTACTTAACATGTATCCATACGTAACATATATATAAATAAATAATTATTAGCTATAATACACAGTTTAAAAATAAAAGAGTAGCAGTAGTAGACTAGTTTAAATAGTTTTGGGTCACATAAAATAATATAATTACAGACCGCATAGTAAAAATGTTTTATTTAACATAATATCTATTTTATAAAATTTTATTTAGAACAATAATATTTATAACAAAATACTCAAATAACCGGGTATTACAACCCCACCCCACCGCGCGTGCGAGCCGAACGGGCGGGCGGCGACGCGCGCGTGTGGGGTTCCCCTTTCCTTCTCACTCTACAATAGTTTAAGACTCCCAAAAGGGTTGGCAATAAAAAAGGTGGGAATGAGTCCCTTATTAAACCAATGTGGGACAAGAGTGTCTTCCTTCTACTCACTTGTTAAGCTACCATCTTGAATGTAAATCTCCAACAAATGGTCAAAGTGCTTTCGGACCTCCAGCGAATATGTATATAAGGGAGTGCTTTAAGAGAAAGAGAGCAGAGGACAAAGCGCCACGTATATAGTTTGGTCACTAGTTTTTTTTTTTTCTTCTTCGTCTCTCCAAAGAATAAAAGCAGTGGTTCTTCTTTCATCATACTAAGAGCATCTCCAACCCACTTAACACCAAAACACCAAATTTCTTCACCAAATGTCACATCATAAGGAATATTCTAAGCATCTTCTCACACCAAATTTTATTCATCTCCAACCCATTTACACCAAAACACCAAAACACGAAATTTCTACACTAAAATAATTTAATTGCTCAATTATTAATTCGAATTTAATTAGTTTAATATAATTTTTTTCGAACTTAATAAGTGTAATATAAAATATAACTTGTGATGTAAATAATAGTTTTTATTAATATTAATTTTTCATAACATTAATTATTCAAAAATAAAATTTAACAATATTTTTGAAAATTTAATATATTCCACAATAATAATATATATTTTAATTTTTATTATGTTTTATTTATGTTTAATGTATATAAAATTTTAATATATATATATATATATATATATATATATATATATATATATATATATATATATATATATATATATATATATATATATTCAATATTAGTCTTGTTTCGATCGTCTCAATGAGATCTTTAAAATAGTATAATTTATATTTAATAATACAAATTTTAAATATAAGTATTTAACAAAATAAAAAATATATATAAAATAAATAAACGATATGTTTGGAATTATTAAAAAAAACAAGGGCAAAATGGTAACTTTACTCCCTATTTTAGATTTGCCGTGGATGAACAGTGTCACGCCATATATGGCGCGGCACTGTTCATCAACGTCAAAAATATTGGCGATATGGCGTTTTGCATCTTCACCTTGGAGAGCAAAAATTTGAGAAAATGGAGGGATGGCGTTGGAATTTGCAGATATGCTGCCACATTGGAGATGCTCTAAGAGTAACGACGGCTTCCACTAGCAGATGTGAGAAACAGAGACAAGCGACATCTACCCACGAAAGAGAATAGAGCTAGGCGAGAAACTCCAGCAGTCCGGCGACCTTCGGCAACTCCGGCAGCGGCGACGGTCGGCATCCGGCAGTAGCAGAGCTCAACATCCATGGTTCCTGGTCTCGCAGCATCAGTTTCCAGTGGCATGAAAAAAAAAAACAAGAAAACAAGGCTCCATTGATACACTTCAATCTATCCCCAGTAGCGAACTCTGGCTGCAGAGCACCTATGCCGCAACCTTCCACAGCGACGGATCTCCGGCAATCGTGATGGTAAAACTCCGGCGACTTCTGCAAAAAAAAAAAAAAAAAAAAAAAAAAAAATCAAAGCAAAACAGAACAAAACAAAACAAAACAAAACAAAAAGCTTCCAGCGAGAGGGCTGAGTAGCGTCCTCTGGGCGATTGTGGGTTCAAGTCCTCCAGCAGTTCGACGACCTCCAAGTAGCAGAGAAGCATAGACGAGCAGAAGGCGATTTCTGGACTCTGGCGGGCAGCATTCCGACGACCTCTAGACTCCGGCAGTGCTGACGGTTACGCTGGGACTTCATAAAAAAACAAGAAGAGGGAAAAAATGTCTGGCAAAAATTTTCGACAGCTTCTGCGATGACCTCTGGCCAAAACAGCAACCCAAGTTCCCTTTTATTTTGTATGTTGCGGCTGTATCACTTCTTCCCTGTAAATAAAAGAATGCATATAGGAAAGATGGGGATGATGGTATCATTAGTACAAAAAACACTTTCTGAGTCACCTGTAAACCACTTTTCGAGTCACTTGTACAGGTGACTCGGATTCCAGAGCCTCTGAAAGTGTTTAGCTTTCCGAGGCACACGTATAGGGTGTCGCGGAAAGCTAAATAAGCATTTTTTATTTTTTAATAGAGACTTTTCGAAGCACCTGTTGCGTCACAGGTGCCTCGGAAAGCCATTTAATATTTTATTATAAAATACTATCCGAGACACCCACGCACAGGTGGGTGTCGCGGAAAGTATTTTATATTTAAAAATAATATATATATATATATATATATATATATATATATATATATATATATATATATATATATATATATATTATTTTTTAGAAAAAAAATTAAACTTTCAGAGACACCTGCAACAGAGCAGGTGTCTCGGAAAGTTTAATTTTTTTTAAAAAAAATAATATATATATATATATATATATATATATATATATATATATATATATATATATATATATATATATATATATATATGCAACTAATTTTAATTTTTTAAAAACAATAAATAAACTCCCACTTTTACAACACAAATACATAGAAATTATTCATAGCCAATGTTTTACAAAGAAGAGAAAAATGAAGAGAGAGCCCCATCTTTCTATCACTAGTCTCCGTATGTTTTGACTCCTATATCACCTTAATCTTTCCTCCTTCCCCCACTAACAGCTCCGGATTGAAGTTGTTTGTCACATTGGCTAGCTCGCGAAATGTGAACACTTCTGCTGCAATTTTTATGTCCCCATACCTCAGAATGTCTTCTGCTAGCTGCTTTTGCTTGCTCATCCTGCAACTCATTTAAAATGTGTTTTTTTTTTCATGAATCAAGAAAATTACAGCATTTTACAATTTACAAACTGATAAAATTCGATGGGGGCAACAGAAACTCAGAATGGAAATGAAGATCATGTAACAATCTATATAACTTCTTGGGAATCCAAGGAATCAAACAAGTTTTTATCTTCCAATTAATGATACCTTACTTGTTCTCATGGAAATACTTCTGGCAATGGAAGCCAGTGGCTCTTCATTATCATATTTGCTTGAAGTCCTTGCCTCATTCAAAGAACTCTTGGAGCTTTTCAAAGGATTCTTTCTCATCTTCTTAATCTCTTATTTATAAACACAACAGAGGTCATATAATCAAAGCAGTTGTGAAGAAGAATGCAAGGGAGCAAGTATAATAAGATTGAAAATTCTATATATAGATTATTTACCTTGCTAATGGAAGGTCGAGTGTTGTGTCCTATGATTTTCTTCTTCAATCTTTGCTTCGTTGGTGGAGAAGCTGATGGATTATGTTCCTATTTATAGTGTATCATAAGGCAGTGTTATACTTGGAGTTGAATTAGGACTCTACATTCCTACTTCCTAGCACAGTTAAGATAGGCTTTCATAACGTTTGGATGTAGAATGGAGCCGCGATATTTGTGAGTTGTTATCAGAATGTTGACCTTAAAATACACTTTGGGTGAGTTGTATTAGGACTATTAGGACTCTATTATCCATATTAGACTAGGACTATATTATTCGTGTTAGACTAGGATTCTATCTAGCATCTCTATATATTCGCTCCCTGTACTCTCAGACATTATTATTGAATACAACACAATTATATTCTCATCTGGTATCAGTTAGCCAGGGTTTTCTTTTCCAACATCCATGTACCTCACTTCGTAGCAGTAACATATGGCATCAAACCAAGATACACCGTATCAGAAGCGGTCTGGTCAACGACGCGACGTTGATGATCCGTGTCAAATTTGTAAAGGTTTCGGCCACACGGGAGCCAATTGTGTTTAGCGTTATGATGATCCGTGTCAAATTTGTAACCATTTTGGTCACACAAGAGCCAATTGTTTTTGGCGCTATGATGATCCGTGTAAAATTTGTAACCGTTTTGGTCACACAGGAGCCAACTGTTTTCGGCGTTATTTAGGGGCTCCGGGTTTTCAGGCTAATGTGGCCGTCTCTGGTGATAATGGTGATTCCAACGGTCCTCATCAGTGGTTCCCTGACACTGGTGCTACAAATCATGCTACGCATGATTCTTCTTTGATGACTTCTGCGACAAGTTATGATGGCCCGGAGACTCTGCGAGTCGGCAATGGTACAGGTTTGCCTATTGTTAATGTTGGTTCTGCTTCGTTAGCCACTGATTCTATGTCTTTTAAGTTACATGATGTTTTGCATGTCCCTGATCTCTCTTCTTCTCTATTATCTATCCAGCATTTTGCAAAGGACAATAATGTTTTCTTTGAGTTCCACCCACCCTCTTTGTTTCTATGTGAAAGACATTTTGACCAAGAAGGTTCTCTTTAAGGGACATGCGTTTGGGGGTCTCTACACATGGCCTGCGTCTTCTGCTTCCCCTGCTGCATTTGTTGCTGTACGGTCCTCTTACGTTTGGCACATGCGGTTGGGGCATCCTCATTCTCGAGTCTTACGTAAAATTTTAGCATCTTCGTCTGTTGATACATTTAATTCTAGTGATCTTCCCAATGTCTGTTTCTCTTGTCAATTAGGAAAATCTTCTCGTTTTCCTTTGTCTCGTGTCGAAACTACTAGTACGTATCCTTTGGAATTAATTTATTCAGATATTTGGGGCCCTGCACCATTACTTTCTGTGTCTGGCTTTAAATATTTTGTGTTGTTTGTGGATGATTACACTCGTTATATGTGGTATTATCCCATGCATGCTAAATCTGATTTGTATGCTATATTTGATAAGTTTTGGTCACTAGTTGAACGTTCCTTTTCTCGCAAGATTATTTCTTTTCAATCTGATTTAGGGGGAGAATATAAAAAGCTTGGTTCCACTCTTGCGTCCTTAGGTATTCGTCACAGGCAATCATGTGCGTATACTCATGAACAAAATGGCAGGGTAGAACGTAAGCATAGGCATGTTGTTGAAACGGGACTAGCATTGTAAGCATTGAAAATTTAAATAATGGTGTTGGACCGTGGTGAATATTTGATTATTAAATTAATTACTTTAATTAAGCTAGTTGGACTAATATTTATTTAATTGGGTTAATTAAATGACTCATTGAATAATTAATTGGTTTAATTACTTAATTAAATGTAATTGGATGTTGGATTGTTCGGCCCGAAATGGTGAAAGATTTAATCAAGTTGGACCAGGCTGCTTGGATGAATTGGGTTTCCTAGTTAGTGGGTTTGACTTGGTCTTGGCCCATCAAAATTATATGTTGATTATATAATTTTGGGAAATTTGAATATTTGATATTATTTGGAAATTTAATGAAATCATGAACTTGGACGCAATGGTGTCCCGATACATTCTTTAATTTAATTAAAGAAATTAAATTAAATAAGGAATTAAGAGTTGGTTGGAGATTTTCCCTCACACTCACCACTATAAATAGTGGTTTCATTTTCAAGAATGGGAGCTCTGAAAATCTGCATACTGAAGCTCTGCCGAAGTCTCGCCAGGATATCGTCTGGAACACGCCCGCAGTTGTACTGCGTATACCGCGCTGAGGAACACGCCACTTGAACACCGGAAGCCCTTCTTTGAAGATCAAGCTGCATACTAGCCCTTCGTTGAGGAACAAGCTACTAACTCCGGAGGCCCTTCAGCAAGGAACTACTCCAGTTCGGCACACTCCCGAACTCGGCATACATCCAGTTCAACATACTTTGAATTCGGCATACTTCCAGTTCGGCCATCCTCCCGAACTCGGCATACTTCAAGTTCAGCATACTCTGAACCCGGCACACTTCCAATTTGGCATATTCCAAATTTGGCATACTTCCAATAGGCATACTTGTAGTAGAGAATCAGAGGACTTCTCATATACAGAGATTTTACCCCTTCCCGTTTGATATATACTTGATACTACTTGTAACCGATACTTTGAATTTTGAATATATACAATTCGAGTTTTTCGCGTTTACAAGCATTAATGGCTCAATCCTCTGTTCCGTCTCGTTTTTGGGATTATGCTTTTGAAACTGCGGTTTATCTAATCAATAAAATGCCCACTCCTGTCTTATCTGATAAATCTCCTCATTATCTTTTGCATCGGTCTCCTCCATCTTATTCATATCTGCGTGTTTTTGGGTGTTTATGCTTTCCAAATCTGCATCCCTATAATCGCAACAAACTACAGTTTCGGTCATCCCCTTGTGTCTTTCTAGGATATCCTCCGTCTTTTCGTGGCTATCGTTGTTTAGACACTAACACTAACAAGGTTTTTATCTGTCACCATGTGCGATTCGATGAGGCTGTCTTTCCTTTTGTTACTTCTGTGGATTCGCAGGTTCCAAAACCACGCCCGGAGCCGTGGGGTGTTGCACCAATTGTTTCTGGTGGTGATCTGACTATTGTCACGGCTCGTGACCCTCCTGCCGCGCCCATAGCCGCTTCTGACCATCACCGCCAGCAGCCTACTACTGCCGAGCCCGTGACCAGTCCGAGCGGACAGTCACGGACCAGCCGGCTCCTCGGCCAAGAGGCCGGCCTCGTGGTCGGTCACGTCCCGCGCCCTCACCCGTTCGCTCTCATGGAATGAATACGAGAAGTTCGGGACCACATGATCATGTTGCTTTATATGCTGCTGCTGTTACTCCTGAACCTACATGTTTTACTCAAGCGGTTAAATTTCCTTAATGGCGGGGTGCAATGGATTTGGAAATTTAATGCCTTGGTGCACAAAAATACATGGAGGCTTGTTCCCTTTAAATAAGGTATGAATGTAGTTGGATGTAAGTGGGTGTTTAGAACCAAGAGAAAGGCTGATGGTTCGATTGAGCGTTACAAGGCTCGGTTAGTTGCCAAGGGATTCAATCAGATTGTCGGCGAGGATTTCTTTGAGACCTTTAGTCCCGTTGTCAAACCGACTACGGTACGTCTTCTTTTATCCTTAGCTATTTCTCGTGGATGGACTATTCGACAGTTGGACATACACAATGTTTTTCTAAATGGCAATCTCGCTGAGACGGTTTATATGCGCCAGCCCCCTGGTTATGAAGACAAAACGATGCCCGGGCACGTTTGTCTCCTTCAACGTTCTTTATATGGGCTTAATCAAGCTCCCCGTGCTTGGTTCACTCGTTTGCATGATTTTCTGGTTTCTGCTGGTTTCTCACCTTCCAAGACGGATGTCTCTCTATTTATATATTCACATGGCAATACTCGTCTATATTTTCTGGTTTATGTGGATGATATTTTGGTTATGGGATCTGATCCAGCTCATGTGACTGCTCTTATTGACAAGTTGGCTCTTGAGTTTAAAGTTCGTGATATGGGTGGTCCGTTGTCTGATGGCATGCTTCTGTCTGAACAACGGTACATGAAGGATATTCTAAAACGAGCAGGTATGGTTGATTGCAAGCCCGTGGCTACTCCGGTTTCAACCACGAAGGCCGAGACTGATGCCGTGGTACCATACGCTGATCCCACTCAGTATCGTAGCTTTGCAGGTGCTCTGCAATATCTTATGGTAACTCGGCCTGATCTTTCCTCTGTAGTCAATCGTTTGTGTCAACACATGCACTCTCCCTCTACTGCGGATTGGGCGGCTCTCAAGAGGGTGTTACAGTATGTAAATGGGACACTACATCTTGGTCTTAAGATTACGTCTTCTCCTTCTCTAGATATTCATGCATATTCTGGTTCGGATTGGGCTGGCAATCCTGATGATCGCAAATCTACTAGTGGTTTTGTTGTATTTTCAGGACCAATCTTGTCTCATGGGTTTGTCGAAAACAACGTACTGTGGCTCGTTCATCAACTGAGGCTGAATACAAAGGACTGGCTGATGTCTCTGCAGAGGTTACCTGGCTCGTCTCTCTGATGAAGGAAATCGGGTTTGCGCCACCTTCTGTGCCCAAACTCTGGTGTGACAATCTGGGAGCTATTTATCTGTGTGCTAATCCGGTGTTTATGCTCGCACCAAGCACATTGAGATCGACTACCACTTTGTTCGTGATAAAGTCGCGAAGAAGGAATTAAAAGTCAATTTTATTTCTACCAAAGATCAGATAGCGGATATTTTTACTAAGTCTCTTTCGTCTGTACGTTTTAATTTACTCCGTTGCAAGCTCAATGTTTTGGCTGACCAACCTTGTGCTTGAGGGGGA